ATAAACCAGACCAAAAAGTGTACATACCATATAATTCCATTTGTATAAATACTCTAGAAAATGCAAACTAATTTATAGTGCCAGAAATCAGTTCATTAGTTATGAGGGGGTGGAAATGAGGTGGTGGGAAGAGAGAATTTTAAAAGAACAGGAGGAAATTTTGGGGGATGGTGGATATATTCATTATTTTGATTGTGGTGATTTCACAGTGTATACACATGTCAAATTGTGTAGGACTGATCAAATTATACAGTAAATACGTGTACCCAATAATACCTTAATAAAGCTGTTAAAAATCCATATGAGTCACTCCAATATTGAGCGTATTTATTTTTTACTATTATAAGTCTTATTAAAAACAAAACAAAAGGAAAAAAAAGACAAAAATACTCTGAAATGCACCCTAGTCTTCCTCTGGATAAGAACAAGAAATCTATACTGCATTGAATCAGTTGCAGTTGACTTTTTCTGTTGATGAAAGACCATAAATAATTGATGGTTTCATATATTAAAAATATACTCAGTGTACTGAGACATACGATCTTCTTCCATGAATCTTCCAGCCAAAATGGACAACATACTGGAACATGCTGATTTGGGGTGAAAATCAGCCAATCAGCCATATGATGAATGCTACATAGTCATACTCAGGAGTTAATTTTGAAGATAATATTTTATTTTAAGGGTTTGGGTAATAAAATAATGACTAATTACATTTCATAACTTACCTAATAGAGAGGCACACTGTTTCACCATATGGTTATAAAAATTAATACAAGAAATTAATTTTCTTGCCAGTACCATAGAAACCCTCATCAAATGAACTGGTACTGACAGTCAGGATTTGCTTTGTATAAGATCTTCTTTGCCAGGAAAGAAAGAAAAGACCAAAATGGATGTCAAAAGAGACTCTGAAACTTGTTTTTGAATGTCAAGTAACTAAAGCAAACAGAAGAAATGATGAAGTAAAAGAGCTGAACAGAAGATTTCAAAGGCCAGCTTAAGAAGACAAAGTAAAGTATTGTAATGACATGTGCGAAGACCTGGAGTTAGAAAACCAAAAGGGAAGAACACGCACAGCATTTCTCGGTTGAAAGAACTGAAGAAAAAATTCAAGCCTCAGGTTGAAACATTGAAGGATTCTACGGGGGAAAATGTTAAACAACCCAGGAAGCATCAAAAGAAGATGGAAGGAATACACACAGTCACTGTACTAAAAGGAACTGGTTGACGTTCATTCATTTCAGGAGGTAGTATATGATCAGGAACCAATGGTACCAAAGGAAGAGGTCCAAGCTGCACTGAAGGCACTGAGAAAAAATAAGGCTCCAGGAATTGATGTAATATCAATTGAGATGTTTCAACAAATGGATGCAGCGCTAGAAATGCTCACTTGCCTATGCCAAGAAATTTGGAGGCAGCTACTTGCCCAACTGACTGGAAGAGATCCATATTTATGCCTGTTCCAAAGAAAGGTGATTTAACCAAATGCGGAAACTATCGAAAAATATCAATTATCACACACAAGTAAAATTTTGCTGAAGATCATTCAAAAGCGACTGCAGCAGTACATTGACAGGGAACTGCCAGAAATTCAAGTCAGATTCAGAAGAGGATGTGGAATGAGGGATATCACTACCGATTTTAGCCAGGGATCCTAGCTGAAAGCAGAGAATACCAGAAAGATGTTTACCTGTGTTTTATGACTATACAAAGGCATTCAACTGTATGGATCATAACAAATTATGGGTAACATTTCGAAGAATCATAATTCCAAGACACTTAACTGTGCTCATGAGGAACCTGTACTTAGACCAAGAGGCAGTCATTTGAACAGAACAAGGGGATACTGCGTGGTTTAAAGTCAGGGAAGTTGTGAGTCAGGGTTGTATCCTTTCACCATACTTATTCAATCTGTATGTTGAGCAAATAATCCAAGAAGCTGGACTATATGAAGAAGAATGTGACATCAGGATTGGAGAAAGACCTTGCTTGCTGAAAGTGAAGAGGACTTGAAGCACTTACTGATGAAGATCAAAGCCTACAGCCTTCATTATGAATTACACCTCAACATAAAGAAAACAAAAATTCTCACAACTGGACCAACAAGCAACATCATGATTAAACAGAGAAAAGATTGAAGTTGTCAAGGATTTCATTTTGCTTGGATCCACAGTCAACACTCACGGAAGCAGAAGTCAAGAAATCAGATGATGCATTGCATTAGGCAAATCTGCTGCAAAATTTTAAGTGTTAAAAAGCAAAGAAGTCACCTTAAAGACTAAGGTGCACCTGAACCAAGCCATGGTGTTTTCAATTGCCTCATATGCATGTGAAAACTGGACAATGAATAAGGAAGCCCGAAGAAGAACTGATGCCTTCGAATTATGGTGTTGGCAAGGAATATTGAATATACCATGGACTGCCAAAAGAACAAACAAATCTGTCTTGGAAGAAGTACAGTCAGAATGCTCCTTAGAAGCAAGGATGGTGAAATTTTGTCTCACATACTTTGGACATGTTATCAGGAGGGATCAGTCCTTGGAGAAGAACATCATGTTTGGTAAAGTAGAGGGTCAGAGAAAAAGAAGAAGACCCTCAACAAGACAGAGTGACACAGTGGCTGCAACAATGGGCTCAAGCATAACAATGACTGTGAGAATGGTGCAGGACGGGGTGGTGTTTCGTTTTGTTGTACATAGGTTACTATGAGTCGGAACTGACTCAATGGCACCTGACAACAATGACAACAAGGATATTCTATTGTACAGGTAGTCCCTGGGATAAGAACGTCCCACTTAACAGAAAACTTCTACTTAAGAACAGACTGCCATAAACCTCACTGTATTAAAAATTTGAGTTGAATACAATGGTTCATAATAACGAACCACGCACTACCTTATGATGCTCATGAAGTGTTTTTAAAGTGTTTTATATGCACAGAAAGGTGAAATATATACTATGACAAACATTTGACTAACTGATGCTAAATAAGAACCGTATGTATCTGTTCTGACTTACCTACAAATCTGACTTAAAGACAGACTTATAAACAAATCTCATTTGTAACCCGGGGACTACCTGTACCTTCTTTAAAACAAGACAAAGGCACTTTCTTGTCTCTTTCATTTGGTTATGCTCCTGACTTTGAAAACATGTATTGAGTGGCATTTCTATGAATGTGGGGAAAATCAGACAAAAAGCTTGCCTTGATTCGTCATAAAACCATAAAACTCTAGAGCAGGAAGAGTTGGTTAGAGATTATTTAGTCTAATAGCCTCATTTTAAAGAAGCAAAATATGATATCTGAGAGGACATGCAATTTGTTTGATGTGGTGGAGCTAACTAGGACCTATACTGGGAGAACTTACAATTACTTATAAACACAGTCTTTTCTTGGTAAACTATTTTTGCCCCTTGTTGCCCACGGTGTCATCCAATGTAGGTAATAAAAAAGGACCACTGAAATTTTAGCATACTATTTTGCAAAAAAATGTCTGTGCAGACCTAGTTTTAATCTCCCAGCCCATCAGGACCCACAGCTAGGGAACATTTTTCAAAGTTGTTCCACATATAAATTAGTTTCTGTCTCCTTTTTTTGCAACATGCTAACTGTCAATGATTTCATTCTACTTGAATCAACAATCAATGTCCATGGAAGCAGTAGTTAAGAAGTCAAATGATGCATTGCATTGGACAAATGTGCTGCAAAAGACTTCTTTAAAATTTTAAAAAGTAAAGATGTCACTTTGATGACTAAGGTGAGCCTGACTCAAGCCATGTCTTTTAAACTGCCTCTTATGGATGCGAAAGCTGGACAATGAAAAAAGAAGACAGAAGAAGAACTTCAGATTGTGGTGTTGGTGAATATTGAATATACTGTGGACTGCCAGAAGAACAAGCAAACCAGTCTTAGGAGAAATACAACTAGAATGCTCCTTAGAAGGAAGGATGGTGAGCTTTGGCTTGCTTACCTTGGACACATTATCAGCAAAGACCAATTGCTAGAAAAAGATATCATGGTTGGTAAAGCGGAGGGTTGGCAAAAATGAGGGAGGCCCTAGGTGAGATGGATTGACACAGTGGCAGAAATAATGGACTCAAACCACAGTAATGATCATGAAGATGGCACAAGACCAGGCAACGTTTTGTTCTGTTATACGTAAAGGTTCCTATGCGCCGGAGCCAACTCTATGGCAACGGACAACAACAGCAACTGATTGTTTAGGTAACTGAAAAAATGTTTAAAAAGAGGAAAAGAAAATCCCACAACATGAAACTGAAAATTAAGTTTTAACGCATAATCTTTTTGAAAATATTTATTGCTCTTAGGAAAAAAATAGTTTTCACCAAAATGACTATTCTTCACTTACTCTTTTAATCCTGAAGCATAATGTACTTTATAGGAGAGGGAATCTTACTCCTGTGATTCTCCATAGTAGTCCAGTTCCTTCCATCTGTAAAATGGGTTTAATACTGAATTCTAATCACTCAGTGTGACCAATTCTTAGACTGCCCAATTATGCCCTTTAATAGTATTGCCACACATGCAGAATTTTTTTGTTTTCATTTCCTTGTATTAAAGGGCACCACATTTATTCGGTACCTTCCTTATTCAATGATTGTGGAAAACAGACTACATCTGCTGGAGAGCAAACATTGTTTCTTCTCTCCAGATGTCTGCTTTTCCTCCCAGAAGTTGGAGAGCATTGGACAAGCAATAACAGATGATGAACACATGCATAAGTACAAAATGGAAAAGCTGATTGTTTTCAAAATTGGTATAAACATTTGCTCTTGGGTTGAGATTTAGCCCATAGCAAATCTTTACATTTGTGTTATACACTTCCAACCCCCACGCCCAAAAAAAATGTTTATAATGGAAGTGCTGACAATGTGAAAATTTAGTTATAGTCAGGAAAGCAGTTTTGTTTAAAAATGCCATTTTGCACTTCCATATTTACTTCCTAACCAGTGACTGAGATGTCAATTTCTTAAGAGTTTTTTTTTTTTCCACTCCAAAGGTGAATCTGACAACTGTTTTGAAATGAGCAAGAGATCTGAATTTCATCCTCTTATTCTTCAACAAATACCAATCAGAGTACAGAACCACATGCTGGTTACTTAACTGGCTACTTAGATGATGGTGATGATGATGATGATGATGATGGTGATGATGATGAATGAGAGAACAGAATGAAGTTTGTTGCTCAAGAGAGGTTTTGCTTTTATACAGGGATTTGAAAAGCAAAAGAAATGGCAGCAATTATTAGGAAATACTTTGCACTCTATGACCTTGACTATCCCAAGGCACAGTGAGTACGCTGACGAGGGAGTATAAAATAAGGTCAGAAAATCGCTTTGGCTTGCTTATAAGTCACTTGGTGTGGAACGAAAAGGGTGTTTTTCACTTTGAGGTTGGTATTACAGTGACCCCAGTGAGCTGGGTCAGGTGTCTCTCATACGTCTTGTTATGTTCATACAGCTATCCACTCTTCTACATAGTTGGCTGAAGAGTACCTTACTACTCACCCCAAGAATGGCAAAAAGAGTGACTAAAAAGAGAGAGGAGAAATGAAGTTGCCGAAATGTGCTAACAATGTATCTTTATGTGCAAGGAGTTTTCTTTTGGAAGGCTGTGACTGGGTGGAAATAAAATCATAAGAAATTTTATATTTGATTACAGCCCATGGTGAGCACCTCTGCTGTAACACTGGTCACTAGACAGTTATTTTCTTCATTTGGAAATTGAAAGCTATCATTTCCGATGATCTAGATTATTATCTAGATTCTTATTTATTTGTAGGGAAATTGAAGTAGTTTTATAATATGGGGGCTTGGGGAGGGGCGGAAAAAATATGTCAAGAATGCAGGTGAGACAGGTACTCGCCTTGCCCAGCTAAATGTGTGTGTCTGAACAGAATCCAGTCCTACTCTTTCAGGTTCAGACATGAGAGGGAGAAAAAATGGCTTTTATCTCTGACACAGAAACACCCAGAAAATTTCCCTTAGGAAAAAAAAAAGAATGTTTAAGGTCTGAGCTACCCTGTAGGCAACTAATACTTAGACTTGCCCCAAAATATAATCGAACAGTTTGGGCATGCATGCAAAATTTTAACATTTGCATTTTCCTGCATTAAAGCACACACATTTATAGCATACTTTTTCTTATTCAATGGTTGCTGCTCAATCATTTTTAAATTAATGAATGAAAGAAGGCCTAAAGCTCAAATATAGACTTGAGAAATAACAAGCCATTCGCACTAGGGCAGAATGTTGATTTTGCCTTTGTACTTTTGTTTTCAAGCCTGAAATCATGGAAATGTTCAATACTGACTGCCCACGGTGAAGAAGACTTCCCCTGAACTTAGTATATGCAGGGAATGATCTGGAAGGTGGAGTAGCAATCCTCTGAGTGGACTGATATTCCAAGGATTAATACTCAGTCTTCTTGGGCTGCTGGATATCTGGAACTATTCTGAAAAGAGTCTTACACACCATCAGAATATAAAGAAGAAGGCATGTGTGTGAAAATATGGAATCCATCCTCATGTTCAGAATTAATGAGGAAAACTAATTAATTTGTGACACTGAGACACTTTTTCAAATGAAAAGTATACCTTGAATACAATGGTAAAAAAATACATATTGGATAGCTATTTAATATTGCTAGTTATTTTGGATTTTTATTGCAATTTTATATTACATAAAAATGATAAATATTTGTAAATTGAAATAAAAGAGCTCTGATGGACAGGATAAGAGTAGAAGTAAAGATATATATATATAGTTTGTTTGTTTGTCCAAATGAAAACTTACTTTTTGGCTGTCCTCTTACAATTATTGCTTGGATGACTGGAATGTGTTCTTTGTTTGTAACTCAATGATTCACATAAAGTCAGCCCTGTAGCACCACATAAAATCATAATTTGTTGAAATTGAATAAAAATGTGTTTTTACAGAAAGCACCTAACAACCATGGTTTGGTGCATTCTTTCAGTAATCCTTCGATCAGCACTGTAATGTGATCTGATTTCAAATATATTTTCTAATAAGTGCCTTGCTTTTTTTTTTTTTTTTAAACTACTTGGTGATATCCTAATTAACCATGCTCAATTGATTGCTTTCAAAATAAGAACTAAGAGCTCTCATCTAGTCAAGTGGAAGCTAATTCAACTCTTTTCCACAATGGCAATGATACATCTCACACGCACACTCATACTCACATACACCACATGGGTTACATTAGCAATATCAGACACTAGGTCTTCTGGTTTGAGTCAGTGTAGCTTGGTAGTCACATTTCTATGGATTTTCATGCATTATGTTTCTTTCAATATTTACAAAGGTGATTATAAATGTTCATTTTTCATTCACAGATTAAAATCCTTTTTTGAAAAAATTTTTTCAGATAAATTTTGACAAACCTCACATTTCTTACCCAGGAAATATGCTGTTTCACTTGGAAAAAAAGCAAAAAGAATAAATAGGAGGAAATGAACTCCAATTAGGGAGAAGAAACTCTGACCATTTCATATCCTACTCAAATTGCTTATTTCTTTCTTGCGAAAATAAAAACTAAATACATCCAATTTGGATTGGCAAAACATTTCATCATTTGATTATTATAGTATAGGATGCAGCCAGATCATCTACATGGATGACTTTATTCTGCAGTGAAATAGAGAATATTTAGGTCTTCATTGCTGGTGTCACATGAGCATCTTCTCTTCTCCAGTCACATGGATAATTGAGGGTAGACTAGAATGCATAACTAAATGCATATACAGACCTGAAAGACTGTTTCCAGCATATATAAATCCCAGCCAGGCATTACACAACAGGAATTTAAAGTGTTACATGTAAATCATTTAGACTTAAGCTTCCTAGGAAACACAAACCATTTTCTAAGGACATATGAGACCAGAACTTCAGAAGATGCTGTCTCACTGTGGGATGGCAGAGAGCAGCAGCTCACGGACCACCCTGGTGTGCAGCAATCAACAATGCAGTGGCCCACTTTATAAAGGCGTCAGACAGTCTGTAAGCAAAAAGGCAGAGCCTCCAACTGAGACAGGCCCTGCTAATAAGTGGCTTCTAGTAAAATGAAAAAAAAAAAGCCAGCTTTAACCAGGGCTTCGAACCTGTTCTGGTTCCAACCCCTTGCTAAGAATTTGCATTTCCACCCCAGATATACTGAATCAGAATCTGCATTTTAACAAGATCCCCAGGTGATTCTTATGTATAATAAATTTTGAGAACCACTGCTCTACTAGTGGTTCTCAAAACTGGTCCCTAATGAGCAGCATTAGCATCGCCTGGGAACTTGTTAGAAATGCAAATTGTTAGCAGGGTTTGAACTGGAAAGAACTGGTTCGAAGCCCTGGCTTTAACATATGCAACAAGTCTCCAATCACAATCTTTTTGTGTTTTTTTCTTTTATGTTCAACCTCCTTTCATGGAGAGCAACTCCATCAGGAGAGTGATCTTGAAACACCATGATCAGTGGAACAGGAGAATGCACTGATAAATTCTTAACTTTATGCTTTCAGGGCTTTTCATATCTTTATTATGGGACTGCAATTGTAAATATCTGGTCACATGCCTGTTTTCCCTGCTACACTGTGAATTCCTTGAAAGCAGCACCATGTCCTGCTCATCTTACTGTCTCTAACTTTCAACACAGTCCATGCCCAAGAAGCCATTCAATACATGTTATTGAAAGCATTGTTGCATTCCAGTGCCGCCCTTAGATATAAGGGAGACTCTGGGCAAGCCGCTCTTCATGTGTTTTAGCTTCAGTTTCCTCATCTGACAATTGGAGATAATCCAGCTTTAAACATTTCCAAAAAAAAAAACCTAGCAAAAGAGATCCTAGACTTGAAAATATTCTAAAATTTTTTTTTTAAAGCATTTGTTTTCAGGTTGCAGATTCGGGTATTTCTTGCAAAATAAGCTGATTTCTGAATAATATAATTATTATATGATATACAATAGTGTAGCTGAATGTGACTTCACTCTGACAGATAAAGAGTTCTCTGATTTTACGTCGAAAATCATTCAAAAGAATCTTATTAATTTGCTTGATTTATACAACATATATAATGATAAAAAATAACAAAGCAATTACTTCAGGAAGTATTGAAAATATTGCAGTTTCCTTATAATTCTGACTTTATATCAGCAAAAGTATATCAGTGAGTGCTCATACCTGCTGTGATAAGTAGAGAGACTAAATCACATTTTGTCAATAGGAGCAACTTGTACAAACTGGGTACACAAATAGAAAATAATAATGTTGAAGAAAGTATAATTAATTAATTCAAGCTTCAAGATAAGATCACTGGATCCTGCTGACCCTACATGTTAATCAACTGATTGATTAATTGCTACAATCATAATGATTATATGGTATAAATCTAAGTACATTTAATGATAGTGTAGACATAGAGTTAAAAGTTCTTTTCAGTCTGCATATCTTTTCTCTTTCTTGAATCAAAGGAGTTGGTTTCATTTACTTTGAAGATATCTTTTGGCTTGGAAAGCTCATGTTGAAATTAGCCAAGATTCAATTTTGCTTATCAAGTAAATATTTTTTTGTCATTTCTCAATGTTCTGTTTAAAAATTTAAAACAGTCTCACCTACGAAATAGGAATCTTGTATTATACATCTTCATCACGTCGTGTTTCTCTCAAACATGCTCACTGTATGAAGGGCTGTAGTGAATGCATGGTAGATGTTCCTGTCATATGGTTCTCCACACTTTATTCTGAATCTTTGGATAGTAGATAGAAGGAATCTGAGTTTGCACTGACATATTCAGATCAAAGTATGGGCTATAAAATGAATGTGATTTATTAAGAGCTATTCAGATACAGAAAATGAGACCTAGAACTAAAATGGCTTAAAAAATACATACACATTTATATTTTTCCCATGTGGGAATACCAATTTAAGGTTTTACTTTTTTTTCCTACACACACGTACACACGTATCATTGCCAAAATATTTTTTTCTGATCACTCTCAACTCCTACTCACTTATTCCTTATTCAGTGTTCCAGCTATTCAATATTCAATGTTCCAATATCTACAAAGATTCTGTTGGGCGATCCTGGGATAATTCCTTGCAGCACAAGGTACACTGAACTCCCTAGATACTATGTCTGCAGGAAGAATGTCAGTAAGAAAAATCAGCTGACTGATGATTTGTGCTTGGTCTCGTCTTCTATTGTACCCAAATAAATTAGCATCACAGCTTCTCAATTTTTGTCAAGTACATTTTTTTCATGTTGGTCGTCTAGGTTTAAAACCTGATCCATTTTTTTTATGATTGTTTATCTAAGCTGTTATTAAATCTTTTTGTAATCTTCTTTTTGTAATCTTTCTTATACTTTGTTCCTTTCCTTTTCTTCTTCCTTTCTTTTGCAAAGTAGTCAAAAATTTTTAAACTAGAGGGCAGCTTAGAGCTTATCTAGCTACTAAATGCTTCTTAAATTTAAGTGTGTGCAAGAATAACCTCAAAAAAAACAACAACAAAAAAAAAAAACCCAAACCGGTGAATTGATTCCAACTCATAACCACCCTACAGGACAGAGTAGAACTGCCCCATAGGGTTTCCAAGGAGTGCCTGGTGGATTCGAACTGCCGACCTTTTGGTTAGCAGCCATATTCCTTAACCACTACACCACCAGGGTTTCCAAGAATAACCTAAAGAGGGTGTGAAAAAACAGATTCCTGGGCTACATTCCCAGAGATTCTCATTCAGAAGATCTGGAGTGAGGCCTAAGAATTTACATTTCTAACAAGATCCCAGGTGATGCTGATACTACTAGTCTGCAAACCAGACTTTGGGGAACGATTATCCTATAACCTTTTTTGGGGTCACAGATCTTCTGAGAATCTTGCTTCAGAAAATACACAGGTGCACTTACACACAAATTTAGAAAACACTTTTGGGAGTGGCTTATCAACCTCTATGGCATATGCATGGGTCCCAATTTAAGAATTTTGGTCTAGTATAAATTCACCATTTTACAGTGGGAAAAAACTGGGTCCAAGAGAAGTTAGGTCACTTGCCCAAGGTCATACGTGGATGGTAACAGCATAGAGTGCCAGGTGTACAACTCAACAGGGTTTTCTGTCTACTATTTCTCCTCTTAAATATATCCCACCAGTTACCACCAAATCAATTTCTCTGAAACATGATTTTCAGTTTTTCACTACTTTCCTCAAAAATACTTGGTGGTGCTTTCAGTGCCTATAGGATAAAACTTAAATTCTTCTGAAGTGTTGAATTCTCTGCAATCAGTTTGTTAGTTTATTGACCGAGTATTTACTGAGTACCTTTTCCATTGATACGAGATCAAAGAAGACCATCGTCACAGGAACTTATAATGTTGGGTTAACTGTGTCTGCTTTCTTTTATCTCCTATTGCTATCTCCAAAATCTTTGCTGCATTCTCCTCAGATCCTCACTGTCCCCAAAACAATACCCTCATCTCAGAGCTGGGGTCCTTGTTCACGTTCTTTCCCTGGCTGGCTCTCCAAGCTCCACACCCACTAAATGACTCCTTCGTGAAGTCATCCCAGCCACTGCACTTTTCTCTCTACCTCTGTAGAGCATTTTTTGTCTCCATCACTTATTGCACCCTCAGATCATATGTTCTCTCACATTCTTCTCTGGTTCAGGGAATTTACCTCTTAACTCTTCAGTATCTCCTTCAAGGAATGCACAGATAGAGGCTCTGTAACTAGTTGCTGAACTATCATTAATCAAAAAGACTTTCAGACAGCACTATACTTTATATAAAAGTGCACTTTCTGAGCTTGTTTTCCTGATAAAAATAGAAAAGCTCGTTAAATTTAAACACATATTCTTTTACTGTGGGCTATAATCAAGAAAAATATCTTAAATGAAAATTAACCACTGGAACGGAGGCTAAATTAAGTCATAATCAGAAACCAAATACAAGTGATGGGAAGAGGAGCATGAACCAAGATTGGGGAGGAGAAGAGCATGGGATGAATTGGTAACAATGGTGTTATTATAGATAACTAAGGCTCACAATGGAAACCCTGGTGGTGTGGTGGTTAAGAGTCACCTGCTAACCAAAAGGTTGGCATTTTGAACCCACCAGGTGTTCCTCGGAAACTGTATGGGACAGTTCTACTCTGTCGTATAGGGTCGCCATGAGTCGGAATCGACTTGACGGCTACAGGTAAGGCTCACAATGAGCTAGGACCCATGGCTGGGGCAAGATGCTGCAATGCCAAGATATGACAATGAGAAGGAAGAGTCTGCTCGCCTCCTGTTTGACTTTATTAAGGATAAAGAACCAAAATTAGTGGTTCCCAAATCTGATTGCACATTAGAATCACGTGAAGGTTTTCTTGTGTGTTTTTAGTAAAAAAATTCTGAACCTCACCCCAGGCATTATGAATCAAAATCTATAGGGGTGGAATCCAGGAATCTGTTTTTACAAAGGGGATTTGGATCAAAATTAGGTTTAGGAGCTCCTAGAGTAATTGATTCTGAGATCCTTTCCAACATCATCTATTCACCCTCTTACATTTTTTTCCATTATTACAAATGTACTTAGTGTAGAAACTGGTAGACCACAGAAAAGCAAAAAAGAGAATTAAAAAAAAAAGGCCTATATAATCACTCAGAGAAAACCCCTGTTAATATTTTGAAGAGAAAACCTTTAGTCTTTTCTCTACATATAAATATTTACATACATATTTAAAAATAGATCCATACCGAACATACCATATCATACTTATGCTCTCTTTTTATATTTATTGGAATTTTACATTGTGAAGTATTATTTTCTACAATGCAATTTAACAACTGCATAATATTTCATTATATAAATGTGCCATAATGTAACCTTCTCTAAATCTGGACATACATGTTACTTCTACATTTTTCACTATTAATAATAGCACTTTAAGGGATATGTTTGTTCCTATCATTGTGCATATCTCTGAAACTTCCCTAAGTTAATTTTCTAGGTATGTAATTGCCAGTAAAAAGACAAGCACATTTTTAAGGCTTTTGATATACACACACCAAATGCTCTCTAGGACATTGTAAGAGTCCTCTAAGTAGCTAATAGTTCTTGCCTCATCATGAACTTTAGCTGGCATTTGATCTATAGCCAAGTGTTTATATCATAAACAGTTCTTCACAGGTACCATCAACTTATACTTTTGTAACATACTTCACTTATGTGGAAATTGCATCTTTTGTTAAGGTTATTAAATTATTTAAAAAATGAGCTATCTTTCTTGCAGGTTGCCACCAATGGTAGAGAAAAAGAAGATTCTAAAGTAATTTATTTCCTGAAATAACCTATGATGTAACATAAAAGCTTCTAAAGAAATTTGATTACCAATTATGATGCAGAGCTTAAAACTTGAGGCAGGAGACGGATACTTTCTTGTGTGGTACCTTATTCTGGCCATCTGTTTAACAAATATCTGGTTCCAAATAATGTCAATTAAAACTGATGGCAAACCTTAATAACTTTTATTTGTGAATGTCGGCAAGACCAGTATTGTGCCACTCGAGTAGTAATCTTATGGCAGTTGAGGTACCTCCAGGCTTTAAGTGGATACACCGACGGTTTTTCGCTCTTTCTTTCTTTTTGGTCTTTAACCTCTCAGCACTAGTCATCCCGAACACCCACTGCTAAGCAAGTATGCAAAATCCAGTGCTTCTTAGCATTGGGAAATCCCAAATCTGGTGCCAAGAGGTTCGTAAATACATTAATGGACTCTCTGGTGTCAAAAGTGAGCACTGTTTAACACAGTAAGTAGGAACAGCCTTCAGGACACTTTGCAGCTGGAGCTGGAGTTTTCCAACTGTGAGAAAATGGAACTTGCACGATGCTAGTTGTAAAACCAGATCCTGAAAATGCAATCGACTTCAGACTGTGAAGTGACCTAAAGGGCAGGGTGCTCACACACGGTCCTGATGCCACTGACATAAGAAATCGGGCAACAGGAGTACTGAAGTGGGAATTTGGTGGCAGATGGTAAGATCTGCAGGAAGTGTCCACCCAGCTTTGTTTGGCCCATATTCTGAAACAACTAGAATAAACACTTAGTGCCATAATTTATAGGCATATCAGTACCAATAAATCAGAATCATGCAAACAGTCATGTTTATTATATTCTTGTTGCTTAATATTCATGACAGTAATTTATTTTTATAGTACAGTTTCACTGTTCTCTCCACCATTGCTCTGCATTTAAGTCTGGCAAGTTGTGTTAGCAGTTGTTCAGGTAACCCTTTGAAGACTGCAAATGGTCACCAGCGTGGACACAATACTTTTTTGCTCATATAATTTTCCCTTTCTTCTCCCGTAAACATTTAAACCACCCAAGATGAAAACTCTGTGAATTATGTAGTAATATTACTTTAACATATAGAAACTATGAAGACTAGAGTCTGCCTATTCCTCTGAAGGTAGCTGTATAACAGAGCTTATAGGACAGGTTAAGAACATTTTGCGAAACATAAGTAGTTAATTTCTAAATTTATTATACCCCTGGTAGTACAGTGGTTAAGAGCTCAGGTGCTAACCAAAAGATCGGCAGTTTGAATCCTCCGGCCACTCCTTGGGAACTCTATGGGGCGTCTCTACTCTGTCCCACAGGGTTGCTATGAGTTGGAATTAACTCAAAGCCAACGGGTTTGGTTTTTTGGTATTAGCAAAATGTATTAAATTAAGCATGGTTTTCACCTTTCTTATTCACCTACTACCACCAGTCCTTCCCACTCCTCTGTTTCAGCAGATCAGGATTATTGCTGCTAATTACTGTGGACTGTGAAAATGAAAAAACCACCAAAAAGCACCTTGTTTTTTATATATGCACCTAATATTGGAGCTCCACCCCCTGTCGGTCAGCTTGTCCTACTGTGATGGCTTGCCTGTTGCTACAATGCCGGAAGGAATGCCACTGGTATTTCAAATACCAGCACGGTCACCCAAGGTGGACAGGTTTCAGTAGAGCTTCCAGACTAAGAAAGACTAGGAAGAAAGGCCTGGTGATCTACTTCCAAAAATTAGCCAACGAAAACCTCATGGATCATACAGAATATTGTCCAGTGTAGTGCTGGAAGATGAGCCTCCTAGGTTGGCATGCACCATACAACAGCCACCATGGACTCAAACATAGCAACAACCATAAAGATGGTACAGGACTGGGCAAAGTTTCGTTCTATTACACATAAGCCTGCCATGAGTTGGAGCCAACTCAAAGGCAACGAACAGCAACAATGAAAAGTATTGGAGCTACAAAGATGAGTAAGACATGGCTCCTACCCCAGAGAAGCTTAAGTCAGATTAAGAGATGGAAAAGCAATACTGTACTGCTCTGTACCTACACACGAAACAACTTAGTCAGTTCACACTTAAAACTGAATAGACATAATTTACAATTAATTGTCAGCAAAAGGAGTCACAGACGAGCAAGCCTGGAACACCTATTTTACAAGAACACTTCTCAACTAACAATGTTCTTATGATCTGTGCACTTTTCTGTGTGGATGCTCTACTTCAACAAAAACATTAAATATTTTTAAAAAGAGGCATATCATAAAGTGTGAGTGGACACAGGTTCAGTATTTTAACTATAGTTGGGCTTTTTTTTATTATAGGTATGGAGGGTTAAAAAAATGAATTTATTTTACAGACTCCATGAAAAGACTTTTCTAGAACATAATATGAGGGATAAGTAAATCCTGTGTTATAGTCCTACCTTTCAATTAAATAACACATAGGATGCAAGTTATTTCTTAATTCAGTTGTTTGAAAATATAGTAACTATGTAGTCCTTGTTTCTATTTACGCTTCAGAAGAAAAGGAGCTTATTGGGATTTTTGTTGTTGTTTTTCTATAGTGATACATTTCACACAAAATAAGTGCTCTTAGGTAATATTTTAAAAAGATAAATGTTCTTTACAAATAAACTTGAATATCCTCTAATCTTCTCCCTTTGTTAGGTGTGTGTGATTTCATTGGTATTTTATTTTTATTTTTAAAAGTTTTTCCAGTGGCCTAGCACAAGACTAAGTACCTGTAATATGTTGTCTTGGATACGGGAAGCAAATAAGAAATTTGAGTTAATTTTAAATTCAATGTTCAAGACAGAAAGCCTTTCTTAAATTAATACAAGTCTTTAAGAACACATGTATAAGCAGATAAATTCATTCCTGTTCTATAATTTCCTCTTACTGTATGTAGTGTTTAACAACATAGAATCTTTATCTGAATCACATCTAAATCTACTAATTATTGCATCTCAAAGTAGACACTTTATTATGAGTTTGTCTAAATTGGGCAAATACTATACTTTTGTAGTTAAGAGTAAAAGCTTTGGGAGTCTTCCAGTTCTGGGTTCAAATTCCAGCTCTGCAACTGCCTAGCTGGTGACCTTAGACATATTATTTAATTTCTATCAGCCTCAGTTTCCTAAGTTGAAATAATGGGAATAATAATATCTATCACAAAGAAGCATTATAAAAATTAGCTTAAATGGCAAAATGTGCATATATGACTAATGCAAGTGATAAGTATAGTAATTATACCTTAAATTGGAGTTGTAATTGTAGGGACAGTTCTAGGGTGTATTTATATATCAACACTAGCCCATTAGTTTACAAGATTTATGACTCAAATTAATTCTAACAAGTGTCCAAAGGTCTAAAGAATTTCACTTTGTAAATTTGCAATTTCTCTTTCTACAATTCTTTTTACTGACTTCCCAAAATGTTATAAATTGCTATCTCTAGTTGTTTCCTTGTTCCAAATGATCTTAAAATCTGTGCTATGTGGTCTTGGGAGCCCTAGCGGCACAGTGATTAAGTGCTACAGCTACTAATCAAAAGGTCAGCAGTTTGAATCCATCAGCTGCTTCTTGGAAACCCTATGGGGCAGTTCTACTATGTCCTATAAAGTTGCTATGAGTCGGAATTGACTCGACAGCAATGGGCTTGGTTTTTTGGTTTATGTGGTCTTGAAATGTAGTCAAAGATCTGGATATGGACCTGGAAGACAAACTGCTCAGATTTGCAAATGCTACAATGGTGGGAGAAAGGCTAAATGATAGAAATGAAGGACTTACAGTTAAAAACTTGGGTTTTGGTCCCAGTACCACCAATTACTATCAGTGTAACCTTGTGCAATCCACTGAAAATTTATTAGCTAGAGCTTCCTCATTTGTAAAAACAAAATAAGAAGCATAATCATATACGTGTGTATCATGGCTTGTTATGAGACACAGGTGAGAGAAATTTTGTGAATATGCAAACTTTAATGCAAACCCCCTCCTTCACAGTTGGTGTTATTGCCTTGATTGGCTGGGAGCATGGGGAGAAGAGATTTTTTAAAAAAAGGTACAACGTTGATTGCAAATTTCTGCATGTGGGTTTTAAAATGCACAAATTTAGGACAAGGGAAAAATGGTTAAAAGTGATACCTGGAATTGTGAAATTCAATTTCAGGTCTTAATAATATAATTAAATAATATTAATAAAGAGCTAATTAAGTTTTAGGTTATAGTAATAAATACTCCTAGAAGAAAGAAGGAAACTATACTGCACTGATAAAGTTGCAAATCTAAAGCACTCCATTGAAGTGTGATTTCCAAATTCTCGAAGGGCACGCTTAGAGGAGTGTGATCGTGGTGATGAGGGTCTGGAAAACACTGATTCATGAGAAATGATTGAAAGAACAGAGAAAGAAAGAAAAATACTGAAGAGGGGGTGGGACTAACATTTTCGGTATTTTCAAACATTAAGGGGATGTTATGAGAAAGACATTGCTTTCGTTCTGACTTGGACCAACGTGGTTTTGCTAGTTATGCTCTAGTTGGTCTGTTCTTTCCCTTTGGGAGGGTACTAGGTCATCTGTTTTGCTAACACTGTTTCACATTCACTCGGGGATTCAGCCCTCAGAAGCCCTGGGCATCACAGATCTGGGCAGCACAAATACGAACTTCTGAAGGATTCCAGGTCTCATATTTGCTCAGACTTTTCCTAAAACATTTTTAAAACAGGGCACAAAGGAATAGAAATTTCTGTAGAATATTTCAGTGATGAAATGGTTCCTTCTTAAGTATTAGACATTCAGAGGATAATGTACAAAAGATGTCAGAAAACAATTTTCCATTGTGCTTAGAGTTAGGGGGTTGGAGAAGGTGCTCACAAGATCATTGATTTCATCTGCTGGTAAGACAGCATCAACTTGTAACTAGCAGGACAGATGGCAATAATTAGGTCTGCCCATCCGATACTTGGCAGAAGAATGGACTCGGGATCTGAAAGGGTCATCTTTTTGCCTCTTGGACACTCAAGGTGAGAAGGAAAAAAGAAAGGGGCCCAGAGCTGATTGTCTGGTTAGACAGTAATCACGGTCTCAGGACCTTAGGCATTTGACCTTCTAAAATTCCAATTTTCTGAAAAATAAAGGTGTTCTATGGAATGAAATGTGGGTAGGGACTGCACAGTTAAATGGAAAGCTATGTATAAATCAATGAAAGGAAAAAAACTCTCATAATTACCTAATATCCCAATATAACTTTTTAACAGTTTATGCATTTTTTAAAATATAAGTTTGTGTTTATTCTTTTGATCATAATACTTTTACTCTGAAAAACCAGCACTGCTACTTGCATTTCTATAGCAGTGTGTCCATTTTCCATGTATTTGTTTCCCAAATTGCAGGAAAATGTATGAGTAAATCCTGAGGGAAAAGTTCCATTCTCCAAACCACACAGCAATTCTCAGTGTAGATAGTCTGCTGTTCCAACATAAGCAGAATTCCCCCAGGAAATTTATACTACTCCAGCAGCCATCACATCTAAAGTTTAACTCTGCAGAAAAATAAGGAATGAGCCAAATGAAAAAACGACACATTCCAAGGAGTCCGTGATAGTCCTAGTTCTGCTTCCAACAGAGAGGTGGGGAGCTAGAGTAAGGACAAACACTTTAGAGAAGAGAGAGAATGTGACTGAGTGTGAGCAAGCGAGAGAGAACAGAGTAAGAGATCAGTTCTTATTCCATGTCAAGTCCTGAAAATAGCAAATGGAAGGTTAATATAAAGGCCTCTTGTTAAAAAAAAAAAAAAAATCTACCTTTTTAGAGCTAGACTATCATGAATTGCGACAATAGAAAAGAAAAAGTGAAACATTTCAGGTATTAGAGAACAAGTGTGCGTGCGTGTTCCTGTGTCTATGTGTGTTTGTGTGAGGAGTGATGACTTCTTATTGAATATGGTTTAGTTGATAACTCTTGAATATTTTTATCTGTGAGAAAGATCTAAAGTGTGACAAATATTTACCAAGGGGGCTGTACAGCCTCCCCATCACCCCAAACTCCTCACCTACCAATGCTTCTTCCTATGACCTTCCCAAGCTGAAACAGGATTCACTATCAGAAAGGCAGCTAATTTCCAATGGGGAGAAGGCATTTCTTTGGAGCTGTCTCTTTTCTAGTGCCACTGTGAATGTTACAGACTTACTAATATTTAATAGCAGCAAGCTGGTGCCTGGTTGGAGATGATTGTTAGACTCTGGACTATGATGAAGATTTATGTTCTATAATAAAGTGGTAGGCTTGGACCATCAAGTGGTATTTGGGCCAGGAATGGATGGCAGAAGCAAGGAGAAATATCATGAGATAAAGGAAGAAAGTGGGAGTCCCTGGATTGTGAAGCAAGAAAATATACTGTAATGGTAACTTAAGCATGTTTGGTGCTGTTTGGATTTCTAGGAAACAAAATATTAGAGCAGAATAAAGATGGCCATGTGTGTTACTTGAGACAGCTTCACTATAGGAGTAGAAATACTAGTGAGAAAAGATACGAAGGTCATCTGAGAGTGTGGTCTAGAGTTTAGTCCCGTTGTACTCTGACTTAATAGTTAACATTTACTAAATACCATGTGTCAGCAACTCTGTAAATAAGTGCTTTATTACCGTTACCATTTCATTATATTATTTTAAAAATTTCCATGGAGAGATATTATATATTTTTATTTTTTGTGAAAATATACGCCACAAAACATACACCTATTCAACAAGAGAGATACTCTTTTTATCTCCATGTTACAGATGTAGAAATTGAGGCCTGGAAAGGTTAAGAATTTGCTGAAGGTTTTTCTTACAGGTAGAAAATGGCTAAGTCAGGATTTGAATGGGAGGGTTGTCTGGGGTGCACATTAAAATTTTGGCTTAGGTGATGAGAGTGGACCTCACTGAGAAGTTGACATGCAAGCAGCTATCCAAGGAAGTGTGTTTTGGTAGAGGGATCAGGCAGTGCAAAGACCCTTGGCATGCCTAGGGTAATCGAAGAGCTTGGAGACCAATGGGCTGGAATAAGATGGGCAAGGCAGAATAGTAAAAGATAAAGTCTAAGAACTTTTGGGTGACCAGAGTATGTAGGGCCTTGAAGGCCTTGCAAGGTATTTGGTTTTTCCTCCAAATTAAATGGCAAGCTAGTTGCATCAATTTGCTTATCTTTATTACTGGTACTACACTGGACTAGGTGAGAGAAAAATTTATGGAGGAAGAAGGTCATAGAAGTAGGTCATAGAAGAATTGGTAGGTGAAGAGTTTAGGGTGAGGGGCTGGCTATACAGCAGCTTGTGTAAATGTTTGGAAATGTGGCCAGAGTCAGAGGTGGGGATGAGGAGAGACTGGACAATTTTTTGAAGGCACCTCAGTAGTGATCCCAATGGGATGTCAACCCAAGAATGTGAAATGAGCCAGAAAGCCTCAGTGTAGAATCTAAGGCTGCAAACTTTAAATTTCATTAAAGTCTACTGATGCAATGAATCTAATAACAGGCTGCGAAAACCAGTGACTTAAATCCACCACTAGAGGAATGGGTCAAGACCGCTGTTTTCCATTGAGGTACTGAGGAAAAATTCTAGATTTTGTTATATATATATATATTTAAAAGCATGTCCGTTCTGTAGGATAGGGATGTTCGGGAAGCTGACTCATGAAGGCGCAGGGCCTGATGGCTCAGCTTGGAAAGTTTATTGCTTTGAAAAAGTGACATCTTAAGGACATGAAAGAAAGGAGTGCAAGTAAAATAAAAGTTTTAACGAAGAGCAAAAAGATAAGCACCACATTTTCTAACGGAGCTGATGTCTTACCACTCAATTAATTTCAGAGTCAAAGCCCAATTTTAAATCTGAATCACCTTCTAGTTTTACTTACAAAGGACTTTTCATTAAGCCAAATTAAGTAGATGGAAGTCCAGTTGTTTATTATCTAGCACTAAACCATTCCTACAATAAGACGCCTGTGCAAGCCATTTGGCTCTAGTCAACCACTTTTTTTTACAATTTAATTATGAATATAATTAGAATGAGTTAAGAGACAGGCTAGGCATCAGCCATAAAATTTCTAGTTTGCAAAAAAAAAAAAAAAGCACACACGCGCACATACACAATGATTAAAAAACAACCACCGCGACGAAAAACCCCGCCAAGTCTGTGAGAATGTCAACCTGCAGTGGAAACTTTGGTAGAAGAGGGAGTCTTTGCAAAATATACCTTTATTTGAATTTCAAATTTCCTTGAAATGGTGAAGTAGAAGATATTTTTATACTATATATTTTTACATCTCTGGTTTCTTCATGGTGACCCTTTAAACCCTGCTTTTTTACTTTCTCTGTTTTTAAAGCAATTTATCACTATCATGCTTTTATGTTTAGCAACCTTCTTTAGTCTAGTGACTGGAAAGCTCTGTTTCTTTTCTCCCACAGAGTGGCATCACGGAGTAGATGATGCATCAGAAATAGTTTGACCAAAGGGCAAGATAAAACTAAAAGAAACTCTTTGCAAACACACTTTATTTTTTCAGTTACCTATTGAAAGTATACTTTAAAGGTAAAATGGCATGATGGCCAGAGAGAAAATCATTGGAACATGTAACAGATACTTCCTGCCACAGGGCAATGTCTTTAATTTAAATCATTTCAAAATAGGGATGGTGTGACTGATTGATAGATATATAGGAGTATTAGATGTGTTTAAAAACTAGGGATGGGTAGGCTCTACCTTTGTTGACTAATCGTCTGCATTTTAATGGTGTTCAGTCAATCTTATAGGTGCCATTTCTCACAATTTGTATTACTGCTGAATTAATCAGTGTTTACAAACTGGGCATTAAAAAAATACACTGTCTTCAAATGCATGTGGGACTACGGCCTTTAAATTGAAGACTTGTGTTTAACATCATTACCATCTCAAGTTATTACTGGCTTGCCCAATCATTAAGTGTTATACATAGGGTCACTATGAGGCAGACCAACTCGATGGCACCTAACGACAACAACTCGTGTGTGTGTGTGTGTGTGTGTGTAGTATGTATCTATATATGCATAACATATATAAACATGATATATATATCAGAATTGAGGTAATGTTCACTATTCTCCTTGATAGCCTATAATTTAAATGCTGTAATGTAAAGTTAACTATTATTAACACATCTTATGTTATATATGATAAAGGGATAAGAGAGAGAAGAAAACAAAGACGTTTGCTGCATACACACACACACCCACAAACATATAACAAAATAAGGAAGAAATATAATAATTACATTCTGCATCTGGTCATGTGGTCAGAGCTGTTATTTATAACTATCTTCTTCCACTACCCATTACATATTTCCTTTGCCCTCAGCAAGCACCTCAGCTGGCCATGGCCCTTTGCCTGGTGTGGTGACGCAAACCTTCACTCCTGTAGGATCTGGGCCATTAGTAGTCCCGCCTGAATTGGGTTGTTGTAGTTTTTGATGGACTTTATTCACAAAGCATGGTAGTACTAAGAGATGCTCTAAGGGATCTCCTATATTCCAGATAAACTCTTCCTTACTTTCACTGTGTAGAAGCAGCCCAATATCCTCATGGTAATCAGGATTAGTCACTCCAGCCAGTACAGTTGAACCATAAGGTCATTTGATAAAGGAGTTAACGCTGATTACATACTCATGATGAGAATATATGAACATTGCTGGGAGATGGGAGGAAGTCATATTTTTGCACACAACAGACCACTTTGGAACCTTACAATAAATCAAATGTAAACTTCACAAGCTCTAGTGTGAGCATCAAAGAGTTAAGGTGAAGAAGGTGACCAAAATGAAATGGTCAGAGAATTCTTGAATAAATGAGCTTTGTTGCAGGTTTGAGTCAAACCACTAAGCCTATCTTTCACCAATAATAGGTAACACATCCTGTAAGTAAATGCATAAGGTCGTTTCTCTTTACTTTCCTCTTCATCTACAAATCAATAAATAGTTCAACTACCATCTCAATTCTGATGATTGTCTGGATTCCAGAGAAGGCAGAAGAAAACAGATATATTAAGAGTATTTGTGATGTGAAAGCAGAATGGGTGCTACCCTATAAACTGCGAGAGGGAAAATGTGTTGCAGTAGGCATAAAAATGGCTCCTCAAAGATGTCCATGCTCTCATTTCTGGAACCAGTGAGTATTACCCCATATGGCAAAAGAGACCTTGCAGCTGTGGGAGATTACCCTGAGCACGGGGAGATTACCCTGGATTCTCCGGGTGGATCCAACACATCACAAGGGTTCTCAAATGTGGAAGAGGGAGACAAAAGAGAGTCAGAGGGAGATGGAACTACAGAAGTGGTTAGAGTCACGCGATATGAGAAGGACTCTACCAGCCATTGCTGTCTTTGAAGTTGGAAGAAAAGGATCATGAACGAAGGAATGGAGGCAGACTCTAGACTGAAAAAGTCAAGGAGACATATTTCCCCCTGAGGTCTCCAGAAGGATAAAGTCCTGCCAACACATTGATTTTAGCCCAGTGTCAGACTTTTGACCTACAGAACTGTAAGATAATAAATTAGTGGCGTTTTAAGCAACTGAGTTTGAGGTAATTTGTTGTGGCAGCAACTGGAAACTAATATACATGTTGTCTAGGAAACAGGGACTCTCACTCAGAAAGCAGAGATGAATCCTTAGCTGAGAGCCCTGAAGCAATCCAGTTGCTGTTAGCTGCTGTTGAGCAGATTCCGACTCATAGTGACCTACGTGTGCAGAGGAGAACTACTCCATAGTGTTTTCAAGGCTGTGACCTTTCAGAAGCAGATCGCCATTGCCAGACCTGTGTCCCGAGGCACTGCTGGGTGAGTTTGAACCGCCAACCTTTCAGCTGGTAGTTGAGTGCTTAACAATTTGCACCATCCAGGAAGCCAGAAACTGTCCTACATGTAAGAACTGCAGTATGAAATAGAACGACACAAAGTTCTAAAAGGAAGAACTCTTGGAAAAAGGGGACTCTGTAGAATATAGTTTCAGAAAAGAGTAAGGATATTATAAAAGAAAAAGGAAGACAATGAAAAGAAAAGCAATTAAAACTGGAAGGAAATAAAAAAAACCTACACAGGAAAAGCATGATCCAACTACAAAGCAAATCAAATGTGGCAAGAGTTTCAGCAAGTTTGGGATTGTAGAAAAATACGTTCTATTTGGCATTGTGAGAAATATTCTTTGAGGAGATAGGGATTGTGACAGTTGACTCTAGAAAAAAAATCTTTGCAAAAATCATTTGCACAGGCAGTGAACAATACTTACAGAATCATGATAATGCAGATGTTAATGGTGTTTATTGATTTTCTAATTGGATAAATTCCTGAAGACTTATAATGACCATTAAAATATAAAAGAGGGCCACTCAAAATGGTTGGCAGTGGAAAAGGGTGGAGAGGTAAAGGGAAGGGTAGAGAGAAGACTACGTTCTCTTTGCAAAGAGAAGCTACCACTTGTCTGTCAGTTTGTAGTACTGGAGTGGCTTGAGTGTTGATATGATGCTGAAAGCTATGCCATTGGTATTTCAAATACCAGCAGGGTTGCCCAGGGCTGCACAGGTTTCAGCAGAGCTTCCAAAATAAGACTAGGAAAAAAGACCTGGTAACTTACTTCTGAAAATTAGCCAATGGAAACCTATGGCTTACCACAGAATATTGTCCACTATAGTGCTGGAAGACGAGTCCCCTAGGTCAGAAGGCACCATGCAATAGCCCCAACTACGGACTCAAACATACCAACGATCATGAAAACGGTGCAGGGCCAAGCAGTGTTTCATTCTGTTATGTATAATAAGGTCGCCATGAGTCACAGCCAGCTCGGTGGCAAGTAACAACAACAACACAGAGGAAAGAGTCAGGAGATCCTATGGAATGTCCATGGAATAAGAAACAGAGGTTTAGGTGTATTATTTAACATTACAAAGGTAATAAACAGAAGAGCTAAATATAATAATGTGACTACTAAATACTGGAAGGAGTGGAATAGTCTGAATTCATATCAGGATATTTTATAGGGTTGGTAAATTAAAAAGTTAAAGATATTATCTGGAGTTATGAAAGTAACCACTTGAGAGCTAAATGTATAGTTAAATAAGGTTGCCTCTTCGGAGTAGCCCTGGGGATGTGAGGTGACAGGGCCTACGTCTATTGCTTTTTATCATAATAAGCTGTTCTGTAAGATTTGGTTTGCTACCTAGGCATGTTATACTTTGATACACGTAAAAAATCGCTTAAAAAAAAGGATACTAACAAAACTTCAACCCAAAATAGTTACTCATATGAAATAGGAAAATAACATTGTGTGTATCTGAGTGAATTTCAAAAGAGGATGAGAGAGGAACTGGTTGTAAAAATAATAAAATGGAGGGTTAGAGGGCAATGTTTAAAGCACTGATGGTTTTAATACATAGTTAGCAAATACTGAAACATTACTCACCGTTGGGAAGTTCTACCGTATTTCTAAACTAAAACTCCTGATCATTTAATATGATGCTAAAATTTCTGATCATTTAGTATAATTCTAACCTTGAGTTTAAAAAACAAAACAAAACTGGTTTTATATAGGATAGTCTTATAGAGGATAATGTAACAGACAGATACTTGGCAACAGCTAGTTATTCTTTAAGCAAGATTTCTTTTAGCTAAATAGTCCCAGAAAGGCAATGTAGGATAATGGAAGTGTTTACGTTTTAGAGTCTGGAGTTGAATACTAAGTCTAATCTTCTGAGCTTTGTAAACTTGGGAAATATTCCTGAGTCTTGCTTTCACCTCTAAAAAACTGATTTCTTTTCAAATCATTTATTGAGCACCTAATATAATGTAAGGAAAACTTTATCTTAATTCTCATAGTAGTCACGTGAATTAGAAATTATTTTCCACGTGATCTTTCTGCTTCTCCCACATCTCCTTTGTTATTTTGAGGATTAAATGAGATCCTTGTCAGATATGCCAATGAGTTTTTCTCCCCTTTTCTGTTTCCCAGGGACTTCGGGAAAATGCAGATATTAAAACAGAAGAGGCACTGCCTTTTGTGTCTTTTCTTTGGACATGTAGAGTTACCAGAATGAAAAGGACAGACATAGAGGTAAACTCAGTACATTTCCAGTAGAAATGCCCAGACCCCCTGCAGGCCTCCAGCCACAAGATTGCATCACCTATCATAAAACTCTATAGCTCTGTTTTTCTACCAAGTTCACATTCACAGTACTAATAACGGCTTCAGCACAAGTCATTGCCAGGGAATTAAGTCCTTGCAGTCAGTGGGTTAAATCCACAGGCAATAACCTGCAGGTGACCCGATTGCACTGACCTCAAGTATGGAATTTCAGATCAATAGCTAGAGTACTTGGATTCTGAAATATAAAACAATCTTCAGTGTTTTTGTTACCCCAATGGGTGTTATCGGACAGGGAATCACTATGGCAATGGCAGCAAGTTCTTATAATATTAATGTCTGTTTTTGGTCCAAAAAGGAACTATTTAAAAAGTAAATGCCTTCTGTTCATTCTTTTTGGAACAGCTAATGATGACTTTCAAACATATAATGAGAATTAACTGTAATTCAAACAACACAAGTGGGTTTTTTTTTGTACATTAATTGCTTGTACATGAAATAACATTTCCTCCTCAGATGCAGAGCGTTCTAGTTGGGCGTAATATTCCTTTTGGTCTGTTCACCTTTTTAACTGTTGTGAAAAGATAACAGATCTCTCAATTTGGAGCCAAATACAAATGTTAAACCTTCACAGACGGAGCTTGGGGGTACTGAAAGAGAAAAGGGAAACAACTTTGACACTCGATGAACCGTTACATTGACTTATATGGTGCTTCGATCGCGTCTAACCAAAAAACTGAAACCACTTCAAGCATTTACACCAACAGAAGGTATTAATTTGATGCAGGGAACTGGGTACCCAAGTGATGAAGAAGCTGAAGAGTAAGGTAACCAAGAAATTAGCCACAGCAGGAAGCCACAACCTCCTCAAGGCTGGAGGGGCAAAAGGAGGAGGAACCCTGTAAACAGATGGACTCTGGAACCACAGTGGGCCTGTCCAGCTGACTGAGTCCATGGAGGAGATTGATCCTCAGGCAGACAAGCTGCTGGAGGCAGATGAGTGGATGGGGGCAGGGGATAAACTAATAAACTATCTGGCTTTTCCACCCTCTCCTCCACCACCCTCCCCATCTCCTGCCAATGGCTTCCACTGGCTGCAGCAGCAGGAAGCCAGCCCTCAAGGGCACCTGCAAAACACAGCTGGCTAGAGTTAATCCTACTATGCTTCAACAATACAGAAGGGAAGGGTGAGGATCTGAGGGCAAAGAGGTCCAGGTCCAGCATATGTGGCCATCTCTCCTGTGAATTTACTTTACCTGATAGGTACCTTTTCATACAAAACAAGAACTCATGAGTGGTCTGTTGAGCTTCTTATTGTATATATTTTACAAGAAGCAACGTAAAAAAAAAAACAAGTTGCTATCAAGCTTATTCTGACTCTTGGTGACCCCGTTTGTGTCAGATTAGAAGTGCACTCCACAGGGTTTTCAATGGTTGTGATCTTTCAGAAGTAGACTGCCAGGCCTTTCGTCAGAGGCGTCTCTGAGATGAATCCCAGCACATCTTTGGGACTGGATATAAATGTTCTTATAATTTTGAAAAAAAAAAAAAAAAAAACAGTTTCATCCAACTGGTGCAAAAAGGAGCAAAAGAACTTCTTATTTTTTTTTGTTCCATTGCCAAGGAACTAGACGACCATTTTACCATTCCTTAAGGACATTTAAATCTGAACTACAACTTGGAGCTGAGTTTACCCTGAATTTAGAACGTAAGAACTAGCTTCAAGGTTATGCCATAAGCCAACGGTTAGTAAACATATATCTCTGGCCAACATCATAATATACTTCTCAGCCACATTACCCTGTTGGTTAATCCTCCCATATTAAAAATTATGAGACTGTGCGCAAGGGAAAGGGGGTAGATGTTAGATGGGAACTCCCCGTACTTTATGTGCAGTTTTTCTATAAGCTTATAACTGCTCTAAAAAATAGTGTATTATTTGAAAAAAAAAAAAAAAAAAAAAGACAGTTTACTGTCCTGAGGGTAAAGCAAGGCTGCTGAATTTGACTTTCTTTGCCTCGAACAATGAAGAAGAACTTCTCCTGTATGTTCTCTTCTAGATTATTTTCTCACACAAAGCTCACCTGAAAAAACACTGCCAGCGTTTGTACAGCATCTTACATTTTTAAAGGACTTCCCTAGGCACTGTACCATTCATTCTCACCGTAACGCATTTTATCAGTGTTGCCAAAAACTAGCTAATAGCCGTCAGTCACAGTAGCATGCTGCCTGCCTCGATTTTGCCCTGTTTAGTCCTGGCCATGCCTGTGTTTCTCAAGTTCTGTCCAGTTTGGGCTTGAGTCAAGGATAGCCAGGAGATGGTCCTACTTTTTAGGAAAATTCAAAGGATACACCCTCAAGTGGGTTATGAGGGCCCGCTTTCTATGTCTCTCAAGCCAATGGCTTGCCTCGTGTCTTTAGAATCAGGTAAAATAAAGGAAGCTTAAATGATGCGGTTTCCAAATGATCGCCCTCAAATCAGCACCTGGATCAAGTACATTCTGAGATGAGATTGATAATCGTCACCTAAAAGTGTGCAGGCCACGATGGGAAAATTGTATAAGTTCTTTAAATTTACACAATCAGGGATAGGGGCCCAAATGCAAGCCTCCCTAGTTTCCTACTAGAACATTGTCCTAGCAGCATGAGTGATGCCCCATGCTGGCATTTTGTAAGACAGTATCAGAATAGCTATTGTGGAAATGAATGCTTGTTTATTTTTTCTTCATTTTTCCTTTTAAAGGAAATGAAGAGAGCCTAGGTACTATAAAATGTTGTTCTTGAGAAGCTCAGGGCTCATGAAAAGTCATGACAAGGTGTAAGATCTCCAGCTCCACCTCAGAACCTATGATTGGAGCGGTCACCACATTAAACAACAACAAAACCCAGAATCATGAGCAGAGGCCACAACAGAAAGGCCTGGGCGAATTAACTCTGCTTTATACCCCTTGACATCTTTTTGCCAGATCTTTAGAGAGTATGATGACTTTTGTGAAATGAAAAACAGGATAAGAGTTTATGTTAAGGGACGATTCTTCAGCTAGGGTTCCTCAAATCCTACTAACAACAGCACGGCACACGTAGTCACCCAAGTTCAGACCTCCTACGCAGAGCATTTCTTTCTTGGAAATTTTGCTCGATTGGACTTTAATTAAGCTCCTGCCAGGCTTGCAAGCTTTTTTACTTTACCTTTCTTTCTTCTTTTTTTTTCCCTCCCTTAAATCAGCTTGCTTGCCAGGAAACTTTTTCCAAGCTGTCACAATCCTAGTAAGTGTACCCTCAGATATTACATTTAGAGATGTGACAGTAGTTGTTTCACCATGGATCAACAGAAGAAGTTTCACTGCATTTCAGAAAGGTTTATTTTTCATTTAATTACTTTTTGTTTATTTTTACTTAAATGCATGTGTGTGTGTTTTCTGAAATAGAAAATAAGAGGAAAGAAAGCTTCATGGAGTATGACTACCGGTTAGGAAGAGATATAACCCAATGTCCTGCAAAGTCACCAGTAGAAACTTATTACTTAATATTCACATTTGTCATAAGCAAATTGCAGCTGAGTATGTTACTGGTGTTGGTGAGTGAAGGGTGAGTGAGCCTAGAGAACGTAATGCCTCAGCTGATGATTTAGCACATCGTTAATGAAATGTAATCTTTAATTCACTTAGGTTGTTTTTCAAGACCCCTTTGTACTCAGTTAAACTCATTGCGATTCTGTAAGTATAAAGGCAGCAAGTGGGGGTGCAAGAGTTGACCTCTTAAAGCAGATTCCATGGAAAGCTATTTTCACTGGAGGAGGTCTGTTTAGAAATAGGCCACCCTACATAGGATGCCTTCTTCTTTGTTTTCTTTCCTTTTTTTTTTTAAACTCAGATAATATTGTAGAGTCAGAAATAAAAATAAACCATCAAAAACACAGACACTAAAACGAGAGATATGGAGCACTAAGGATACCGTCTGTTTTCTATGATTATTAGTATCATCGTTGTTACTATTTACTTAATAATTCCACAGTGCCAGGTCATTCCACCAACTGCTCCTGTATGTGAGGTACTTACTGATCGCCTCCACAAACCGCTCAAAGAAGCTGTAAGGGAAGAGCGGCTCAGGCAGCTCCCGGAAAAACATCTTCAGTGCTCCGGTGACAACGTGGATGTCCTCCCACTGGCTGTCGTCCAAATTCAGCTTCTCTTCTGGGAAAACACGAGGAGAAATGGAACAACTGGTTTTAATGAAACAATTACAAGACACTAATTATTATGTTAATGTTTGCCTACTATCATCAGCAACCGTTAACAGCCTTCTGCACCTAGAGGTTTGGTGCTGTGCACTTTCTTTTTTTTTTCCTCCTCCTTTTTCGGTAGGAAGGGAACATTTTCAATGGAATACCATCTGTAGGAATGCAGCTAACAAAAAAACAAGAGACACAAAGAGACAGTGCCATTGACACAGTATGTCAGATACATTTATTCCCACAATGCATCAGTATGAAAATTAGCACCACAGCTCAACATGATTCAAAGCTATTTGGTTTTGAGGCCGAGGGGCTAAGAGTTGCCAATGATGGCCGGCTCAAGGGACCGGCCTAAAGACCTTGCTGAGCCAACGGGAGACATATGCTAAACATGGCAATAGAAAATGAGTTATTGCTTTACACGTGTTAGCCTTGCTATGTACAAGGGAATAATGGGTAACACTTTTTTCCTTTTTTCGCCTGAATATAAAGTCAGCAAGGAATAGAATACTGAGTGAGAAAGGATATTAATTCCTTCTTACTGCTTCAAAAATATCTTTTCTTTTTTTTAGTTTTCATCTCAGTGAGGAAAATTTGCCCAGCGACAATATTAGACAGACCCCTGTTGGCCTACGTAGGCTATGCAAAGCTGTCAAAAATGATAACACCGTAAAGACAAACCACAAGTGCTTACTAACTTCTTCTAGAAACAACAGAAATGTTTGCTTGGGAAGCTTGAGTGAGTTAAGACTTTTAAATACTAAAGAAAGTCAAAGCCAACGTGAAGTTCTTAGTAGAAATAAAGTGATGTTGGACAATTGTTTTCTTCTTTTCGCCCCCAATATAAAAGTCTGGAATCATTCTTTTCCAAGAAGTGCACATACCAGGGTCTGAAAATGACATCCCTTGCATACAATTAAAAGGAGGCGAGGCACAAAGGCATTGCTGTTGATCCACAGGATTTGTATTTCTAAACATGCAACGTAGAAGAGATTTTTCGTTCTGTGCTTAATGAAAACATAAGCTAAGCATTTTAGACAATCTGGGAGTTAACTGAAAAGCTGAGTATACTGGCAAGAATTTAACAGGTATTTGGTAAACTGGAATTCTGTTCCTTTACCGCTGTCTTGGGCTCCCATTCACATGCTCCCTTGGTGTCAGTTTATGAATGCAGAGATGCATTTTGTACCAACAACATAAGAAAAGCGGGGATTGTCACTGTAGGGGCTCACCAGTACTGTTCATGTCCTGTAAAAAATAATAGCTGAAATCTTTATCAGATCCTTTTTTCTAAATGGACTATTATTGCCAGGGCTAGTAAGTGACCATTCCTGCTCAATAGAATATTTTCAAGAGAAGGAACGAAGGTGGGTCTGTTTATTTTAGACTTTCCCCCCTTTCAGTCTTCATTCCTACCTCAATCATAACACAATAATACGATCCACAACAAAATCAGCAGAGGAGACCTTCTTTCTGCCCTGCAATCATTTTTGATTGATTGTATTTCAACAATTAGTCTTTTATTTGGCTACATGCTATTGAAATAGGCCGACAGCATCTTAGCAGGCCAGCTTTAAACAGTCAACTGTTAACAATAGCATCAAAAAGGGAGACCTGATGGGGTTTACTGTCACTTTAAAGAACTGGGTTTTCACATTGTTGAAATCTGTCAGATATTTTGAAATGTCCCTCTCACTATGGTGCCACACCCCCTGCGTGCCCTTATAATAAAATTGGTTTTACTCCTGATTAAATCATTTTCTCCCTACCCACTACCATACTTCTCATAATGGACCTGTGCGCGCTACAGCTGGTGTTCTTCCCATGGTACCAATTCTTACTTTATCTTTTAAGCACTTTGCTGCTAAGATCTCATGCAGAGTGCTTATGTTTTGTTAAGAGCTTCATTCTTAGAGAAATAGCTTAACACATGTTCTAAAAATGTTGCACAACTTATTGCTTAAAACACATTTAGAAAATGTATAAGTAGTGTAGCTTTGGCACTGAACTTTAAGTGGAAATCTAAAAACACACACATGCACACAAACAACTATCTCTACCAAAAATTTATCAGAAAAGTCCATTGCAAAATGCCTTACATCAGATTTCTCTGCCTGTTTTGGTGTGTAGGTTCGAGACTGCCAAAGAGTTAGGCAGGTGAAAAAGGGAATGATTTTATCTTGAGCAAGAAAACAACAGCAACAGATAATTGCTTAGTCAAAGGCAAATGCCATTGACATCGTCACCTTCACATAAAAGTTAAAGTAACTCTGAAAATGGAATATATGTATATATACATATAATATATATATATATATGCAACACAAGTTGATAATGATATATCTGGCATTATCATTAACTTGTGTTGCATAAACCAACATTTCTACCATAGATACTTATGTAGCCTTCATTTAAAGAAAAATAAAATAATTTGTAGCCCTCCAACAAGTAGCTTAAATATACAATATGGCAGGTAGTTGGGAAGAGTCTTTTCGAATAGAGTACCTAGTGTTTATATAAAATTTTTCATAAACCACCGAAATTAAGATCCCTTGTAAACCAGAAGGCTTCAAAACATATCAAGGACACCGTGTTTTATATAAACATGCCATTATGCCCATATTTGTAGATCTTCTCATGAATCCAACCAATTTTTCAAGATGAACTGATTATAAACCTATCCTAGCGTTAACAGGTATTATTATAAACTTTTGTATTATTTGATAGGCATTTCTAACCAGACTGCTAGCAGTTATGATGTCTTATACTTCTCCCTTTTCCTATAGAGCAGATTTCTCAACAGTGGCACTACTGACATTTGATATTAGTGACTTCTGATAATTTTTTTTGCTGTGGGGGCTGTCCTTTACATTGCAGGATGTTTAGCAGCATCCCTGGCCTCAACCCACTAGATGCCAGTAGCACTCCCTAGTGGTGATGATGAAAAATGTCTCCAGATATTGCCAAATGTGGCCTGGGGCGGGGGGCAAAATGGCCCCTGGCTGAGGACCACTGCAATGGAGCCTCTACAATTCTATACAAGTTACTCAATAAATAATGATTTATAACGTGTACCTTAAGAGGGCAGATAATTAGAAAGCAGAAGGGTGACACACGAGTACTCACACACTAAACTTTCCTTAGTATGAGTTTAAGAGATGGTAATAATATTATTGTCCAATCAAAAGCTTTTAAAGAACAAAATTTGCATGACCACATTGTAGAGCACTTGACAGCAAAAACAACAACCCAATAATTATTTAGTAATTAAACTGCATTTAGGACAGTGTTATGCACTTTACATTCATTATTCCATTTAATCATCTCAGTAAGACAATGAGGAAGATGTTATTTTTATTATCATCTCCATTTTACAGATAGGAAAAGTGAAGTACAGGAAGATTAAGCAACTTTCCCATGACTGTAAAGTGATGAAACCAGGATAAAAACCCAGGAGGCCCCCAGTCAAAACCACCGCGCTTCAACTTAATCTCTGCTGGCAGAAGTTGAAAGAGAAAAGGCAAATAAACTGTAATTGCAAATGGTAGTAGATTGACTGTTACTTCCAGGATAGTGATTTTTGTATTTTATCCCTAAATGTCTCACTTTAGGCTATGTTTTTTTTTTTTTACCTGTAAACTGACTCTAGTCTTTCATAATTACTCATTTATAAAAATCAGAGATTCTTTTATAAACAGATATAAAACAAATTGGCAATAAAAAGAAACAAAGGGTCAGGAGATGGAGCAAATTGGTAGGTGATAGTGGAAAAAGATTATACAAAACATCTATTCCAGGCTTGTCTTGACCACGAATTCATTGCATATCTATTTGTTTATTTATTTGTAAAATGAAGACAGTTGGAAAGATGGTGTTGGTATTTAATGGAAAATATCAGATACGACAATGCATCTGAAAACATCTGGAAAGAATAAGGAACCAAACAAATCTAAGGCACCTCAGTGATAGGGAAAGTGAATAAAGGACAAATTGCAAAATATATAATGAACTAAGGTAATGGAAACATCGTAAACCACTCTCGTTGTTTTAGCGGAGTTACGTCAGTGTGATGCAATTTGTCATATGGGATCAACAAAAACTTTACTTGCTGGGGTTGATGACAGGGAAGAAGTCTGGCTGAATCAAGATACCTCACTATCCTTACTCTCACAATCTATACTGGTTTCCCTTGGGTCTCTAGTTGGGCTATGTGAAAATTCCTTTTAGTCATAGCTTTTGACTTAAAGCATTTAAACAGAATTGAAGATAGATTAAGCTCCAGAATCCAAATACTATGTGACTTTATAAAATCACAAAAACTGTATCTAAAAAGTCATCCAAACAAGGTTATCCTTTCTTGAAGGATCTTCTGTGTGTTTCATGTATTTGGTAAAAACTTATCTACAGCAAGTGAAAAGCAACTGTATTTGAAAACAAAATTGACAATAATAATTAGCAACAATCTTTCTTAAAAAGGAGAACTGAAGAATGCCACAGAAGAATAGCCACAGAAGCTCAATGGTAGTTTCCAAGGAAAAAGCATGTAAATATCACCAACAGTTTAATCACCCCTTTTCTACCTCTTGTAATGCCTATTGCTCTGTAGATTGGTATAACCAGAAGTTGCCATATCAGGCTTAGTTTTAACTAAAATCAAGATGTTTGAAACTAGTGAAATATGTGTTGTTTGAAATCTGCCTGCAGATGACTAGAACTATTCAGAACACATTGGTAACACAAGAGTAAAAAGGTAACTCCTCTGTGTGTACTGAAAAACAAGTGCATTTCTCCCTCGTAAGTTTTTCTATAGCACTTTTAAAGCCTCTTTCCAACTTTTATTTTATTGTCATAATAAAAGAAGAGGAAAAGATACCCCAAGTTTCCCAGCATATGGAGGGAATAACTCTGATTTCATTAATATAGCGACAAGAACCTATTACATCGTGACTCTCTCATAAA